GGGGGCTGCGTTGCCCCCCTCCTTGCCCCCTAAGCTGGGAGATGTCCTTTACAGGTTCTGAACTGGCCAGCAAGGCTGCAGGGCTTGCCAAGGGCTTGGGATAGAAGAGGGTCTCCCACCCCCTCCCGGGACACCGCACTCTTCCAGCGGGCGTCCTCTCTCCGGGCCACCCCAGTGCCAGCCCTCCCTGCTCAGGGCTGAGGCAGACACGCCACCAGCGAGGGGACAGAAAGCAGAGGCAATATAGGATATTTTTCTCCCCTTTTCGCCCTCCCCCCCCCCCAAACCCCCCTCCCCCACACTCTGCCCAGCCGCTGCAGCTGCTTCTGAGCCGGTTGTTTTCCAGGGCTTGCTGCAGCGTTTACATTAGCAGCTGCCTTTGCATAACTCCCAGGCATGAAAATAAGTCGCCCTGGATAAACAGGGCAGCGGAAGAGAGGGAGAAATTGGAGCCCCCCTCAAACCTGGGCCCCAGCTCTGTGTTTGTGCCTGTGTTTTGGGGAGGGGGAATAGGCAGAGCCCGGGAGAAGCCCAGCTTTTCCCTTGAAGCAGGAAACGGGCTCCAGCACCTGGATTTACAGCCGAGTCCCTCGCTCTGGGAGAGTTGAGGGAGGAGAAATTCCCCACCTCTGCAGAAGGTCTCAGAGCACCCGCTGCAGAGGCACGCAGATAGCAAGGGGCGCCCGGGAAAATACAGGGACTGCCCAGTAGTTTTCCATCCCGCAAACTCCCTCTGCCATCCCTGCTCCTGTTCAGCCCTTCTCACTTTCCAGCCCGCACATAAGGCACAGGATACAGGTGCCAGAACTAGCAGAAGGAGCTGCCACACCTGTACATGTGCCTACATGCATCCGCAGGCACGCCGGGCAAACACAGGCCACCCAGCACACCCGCCTCTGCGACGGGGCCCTAGGCAGTCCCCCGATCCCATCCCCACCTCAGCCTTGGGGCGATGACACCAAAATTGCTGTTCCTCCCGAAGCCGGAGCTCGGGGGCCCAACTCTCCTTGCCACTGGGGCTGCCGGGGCAAAGCCTGCGCGCAGCCAGAGGCCCGGGAAGAAGAGTCCAGGGAGAGCTGGATCCTTGGCCAGGAGGAGGTGGTGTAAACACTGGCTAAGGACTTGCCTTGATTTATTGTGCATCTCAAGAGCTAGCTCCCCACCCTCCCTCTGGGCAAGACCAGGCTAATTCTTTACCACCTCCTTGCAGTAGGCACAAGCCTGCGTTAATCCCCCCGAGGCTATCCAGGATGGAGGTAAAATTCAGGTGCTTTTCACCTTCTACCATTGCTTAGGCAAGGCAGAGCCTGAAGTGATATCCATTGCCTTCCCCTGATATCCCCGTTCCTGAATGCTATGTATAAAGCAAAGTTTTCAATATAGACATGCCTTAGAAGAGCACATGGGGCCCCACCGCCTTTGGGGCTGAAAAGCAGGCGCTGAAATGGCCGGCACCCCAAAACCGCTCTGGGAGGGTGTCCCCGCTGCGGTTGCCCGGGGTGGGCGCCCGCTCGCAGGCAAGGCAGAGCGAGGCGACTGGCGGCTGAATGCTTTCTCACCATGGGATCTCCCCTTTCCTGACGGACCCCGTTTTGTCCCTGCGATCCTGCACACCCGCTTTGTTCCTCACATCACCTCCTGAATGCTGTGCTTTACCCATAGAAACAGGCCCAGGGTTACTAAGCAGGAACTGAACCCCAGATACAGACCAGATACAGATGGTCACCTGCATCTAACTGCTTAGCTGAAGAAAAAGGAGGAAGGATCTGCTGTGGAGACCCAGTCAGGCCAGGTATGAGCCGTCCAGAGACGCCCAGCAGCAAAATAGCTCCCATAAAGGAGAACTGTCAAGCCCTGAGCAGTATAAAGCTCTGCCCAGCCCTAGGTTTGCTGAGACGGTTTAATCAGGACACCAACAGCTCTGATAGCTCCGTTTTCTTGGAAACGTGCTACCTGCAAATTTCCGAGAAACTTTGGCCACCAGAGCTGGCTGCAAACAAGCCCAGGGCGTTTACGGGAGGAAGGCGCTTCGGCGTAGGGTGCCTCTCACGCTCCTCTAGTCGCTGACTCAGGGACCTTCTCTTTTGCTGGCTGAGCTCTGAACGGCCCGGAGGGGAAAGGCAGCTTGCAATCCTCTCTACGCGTCCCCTCTCTGCCTGTCAAACGCACACCGGCCGGCAAAAGTCCCCAAGGAGACCCCCTAGCCGCGGGGACCAGTTTCACTGCTGGGGAGGGGGCTGCACCCTGTGGCTGGTGGCTCCCGGCCCCACTCCATGTCCGTCCCCTCACCCCGGCCCGGCTTGTCCTGCACAACATGTTTACGAGACGGCGGAGAACAGCCTGGCCCTGCTGCTACGAGGCCAGCGCCCTCTCCCGGGAAGCTGGCCGGGAAAAAGAGTCCTCTTCCCTTCTTGCAGGGCTCTTTCCAGCTTGTTTACTGGCCTGCCTTCCCCTCCTCCCCTTGCAGGCTGCGGTTTTTTTGGGAAACACGGATCAGCCTGTCCCTTCTCCCAGCTGCGTGCTCCAGTGACCCTGATTGTCGTCAGCGTTCAACGAGACAAAAACCTCATCAGGGAGCTGGAAAAGGCACAATGCCAGCAGGTGACACCTCCCAGGAGTGTATTTAAATCAGCCTTCAAAGCCTCCACTCTAAATGCACATCAACCAGCAAAAGACAATGCGGCGCTCCAGGGGTGACTCCCAACTGGCACATGTTTTTCTTCCCTCCTGCTATTAATTCGTGGGAACACCTTTATTTGCCTGCCCCGACACTTCCCTCCAGCTCCGCTTATATCCTGCAAGAATTGCCAGGGCTGAAAAGCGTCTGGTGAGCTCGGAGGGCCGGTGACGGCTGGACTTTGCAGCCTGCCGCCTCCGAGGCGGCAATTCAAAGCCAGGCGCATGGCACGGAGCGAGGCCCCGGCAGTGAGAGCACGGCGCCCGGTCCCTCCGTGAGGAGGCCAGGGACCAGGTCGGTTGAGTCTGACAGCCGGAGTCGTATGCCCTCTCCTACGCACATCCAGTCCCATAGGAGCTTGGCACCTCTTTTCACAGGGGGCAGCAGTGCCCCGGGGCAGGAGGGGAGCTGGTTTCCCCCTGCCGTGTGAGGGCTCTTCCCCAGCTCCGGAGGGAGCCCCAAGCCCGGCACCGTTTCAGGGGGGGTGGCTCCTGGGGCAAGGTCTCACTGTGTACCCTCCAGCCAGAGCTGGCAACCACGAGGTCTTTGCCCAAACAACATGCTGGCATGATCCACTAAGGGCAGGCATCCAGTGCCTTTCACCAGCACTAAAGCACCTCTTGAATCAAAATTAATGATTTCCTTTTCAAACAGAGCTATCCCATGGGGAGAAGGAACGGTCCGTTGTGTTCCCACAGGTTATCTCCTGGAAGAAGGTCCAATGCACCTGAAATGCCCCCTGCTTCTAGCCGGGGCACAGCTGGGAAGGAGGAGAGAAAAGTGTCTCTTTTCTCCCAGGCATTCCCAAATTCGGATGTGCCATTTTCATACCCATCTGCCAAAGCATGCTGGGCTGCAAGGTTCCCTGTAAAGCTTGACCTACCCACACCTCAGCAAGGACAGACGCAGGCTGGATGTCCTGACAAACACGTTGCCTCCATCTCTGCCGTCGCCGGCTCCCACCATGGCCGGGCGCAGCAGCCCGCGGTCCCCCCGTGCACGTCTGCGCACGACCAGCTCAGCGTGCCCACCGCCGCCGGGAGCTGGGCTTCAGGCACGGCGGAGGAGCTAACGGGGCCAGAGGAACTGGAGACGCAGCCCCCTATAGCCACAGCTAGCGAGATTTGGGAAATCAGCCTAATGCCCCAGCAAGAAGAGCAAAGTGCTTAATGAACAAGTCGCCCCGTTAACAGCCAAACACCAGAGTCACCGAACGAGGCCAAGGATAGGGAGCTCACTGCATGGCAGAGGAGACATCCGTGCCGTGCGGACTGACCTTGCGCAAGCAGCGGCGGCCGACTGGTCTCCCCGCGAGTGCTGCAGGAGGCTGATGAAACCCCCCAAGGCAGGGAGGCGATACCAGCTCACCCGATAAGCGAGCAAACATTGCAGGCTCCGCAGCGTGCCCATGCTCCCTTTGAAGATGCTGCCAGGGTCAAGGGTAGCCAAGGGCTGGTCACCAAGAGGCCTTTCGAAGGCAGAGCAGGCTGGCAATTACCTGGGCTGCACAGAAGGGCAATTTGGGAAAGCAAATTAATAAATTGAATTGTGCAGAGGCACACGCTAAAGGAAGGGCCCTCCCCACGCACCTCAGCTGCCATATGGGCAGATGATGCCTTTAGGGGAAGAGGGGCCTTGGAAATGCAAGACCCCAGCAGCCAGGAAGGCCTTGTTGTGCACAACTCCTCGGTGGCTGGCACCTCTCCTTCCACCCCTTTCTCACCCCATTGGCGGCCCCATACCCAATCGTGTGCTTGGTGGCACATTGGTGGCAGTCACCGTGCCCAGCTGCCCGCTGGCACCTGGGACGGAGAGCAACTGCGGGGCTCCTGCATGCCTTGCTCTCCACCCTCGTGTGAGATGTGGCATTGCTGCACAGCCAAGCCGCTCCCTTCCCAAACATGGGGCCCCGCGGTCTCCCCTTGCCCAGCCCGTGGCCAGGAGCCCTTTGCAGAGGGGGCATCACAGCAGCCAGCTCACGGCCCATCCAGGAGCACCCTGCAGCCCAAACCTACCTCTTGCAGGCTCTGCCTGGCATGCATGTAGTCCTTCTGCAGAAGCAGGGCGTCTTCAGTAAGCAGGGGACCCTGCTGAGAAGCAGCACATGCTCTCCTTCAAAAGCATCCAGGGGAAGCTGGAAGATGAGAACGTTAGTGGCAGGCGAGATCAGGGATTTGAGACCTAAAAATTGCTTGGCTCCGTTTGCTCTGTACAAGGGTGGAGAACATCCCAGGGACTGCTAAGCGCATGCCTTTCCCTTGCAGTTCCCAATTGGTCACATTCTTCATTGGCAATTGTTTTTTTCTTTCTTATTAGTATTATTCATGCTGCTAAATGTGTTCCCAGCTAGGTCAGGGCCTTATTAACTGTGGCTGTCAGATTAACTTCAGCCTAAATACACTTCGCAGCTTAATAAGAAAGTGTGCTGAAATCCTCAGCGCTCTGCCTGAGTGAGCTCAGTGGTAGGATCAGGGTCTGGCCTTGTAAATTAACACAGGTAATTGCTATGTGCTGTTGCCCGTGTACCTTGTTCGTGGCTGAATGAGGCCCCCGTCCTGCCACCACGCACACTTAACCTAGACTCGTGAAGTCAACAGAGCCAGGCACACATGCAAGGTTGCATGAGTGATTTCGTTTTAGCTGGAGAAGACACAAGTAAGTGCAAAGCTTGCTCAGGGGCTGTCGGATGTGAAGGATCGGATCCCAGCCTTCATGGTAAATGCCAGGCGAGGAAACTACAGAAACAAGGCAACAGGCTTCACAAATACTTCTAATTAACGTAAGAGTAAGGAAGTTCCCGAGATGTGCTCGCTGAGCCAAACACGTCTTACATGCCCAGCAGACTAAGCATTAAAATTACTTTTAAAAAAAAATCCAAAAATATTCAGGAACGGAATTAACAGTTAAAGCTGAACTACCATACCTAAGACCTCACACAATTGCAGTTTAAGGCATTATGGGCCCCGGAAGGATCACACCCGTTTTTGACAGCACGTGTGCTGTCACGTTACTCGTCTCAGTCTTTGAGGTGTCTTAAACTACTTGCATGAGAACAGCCTGGGGGCGCGTGGGAATAAAGCCAGTCTCCCCCAAAGCTCACTCTGTGTATATGATGCTTGCGCCAAAGAGACACCACGTTTTACAGCCTGGCCACGGCAGAGGAGTGAAACGGGCCGGGGCCGGCACGGGAGGGACGGGGGACAGCCCA